TCCAAGATGGGGCGATCCGGGCTGCACGCCGGGCGTGGCAGAGGCCTTGGGGCACGTCCCCCGGTGGGATGCAATCTTGCTGCTGGCTCAGAGCCGCGGGCTGAGCTCGCCCGAGGCCTGGAGCCAGGCGCCCGCCCAGCGCCGCTGCTTTCTGGGATGGGGGAGCCCGGGCACCGAGCTGCGAGGGCCTGGGAACCTCCCAGACCTCACACCAGACACGAAGGCTCAAGGTCACAGAGCTGCGTCTGCCGTTTACAAATGCCTGCTTTTTACTGGAGTGTTTGTAAATGGGCTACTGTTTCCTCTGTTGGGCCAGGGAATTAGGATTCAGAGAAGAGGACTCTAAAAATACTAATCGCCGAGTCCCAATCAGCTGATCCGCCTTACTGGCCAGTGACCCTGGCCTTTCAAAGGAAGTAAGAGGGACAGCGCTTTTCACTCGGGTACTTTGTATGTCTGGCCCTTACTCTGAAGATTGGCCTAGAAGTTTCAGAAAATGTGTCTTAGAACTGAACTGACCCCGCCCCCCCTTATTTTTCTTTCCGCCCTTTTTCTGTTCCCTAATTTTAGTTTTAAACACATTCTTCAGGTTAAAGTGATTTTCACACTTACAGGTTTGTGATGGACACCTACTGTTTTTTTTTTTTTTTTTTTTTTTTTTTTTTTTTTTTTTTTTTGAATGGGAACTCGATTTCTTATGAAAGCTGAAGGAAACTTGCCCTTTGCCCAAGCCCTCTCTGGATAGCATTCCTGGGAGTGGCTCGTGCTTTGAGGGGTGTTGGTCTGCATTTGTCAGAAAAGGGTGAGCGGTTAAAGTGCAGCCATGCAGAGAATTCCCCTAGAGATGAGACATGTAACTGGTAACTGACATGTTTGGTATTTCTTTTTTATTTGTCCTCTTTCTTTCTTTCTTTCTTTCTTTCTTTCTTTCTTTCTTTCTTTCTTTCTTTCTCTCTTTCCTTCCTTCTTTCTTTCTTTCTTTCTTATCCTCCTCCTCTTTCTTTCTTTCTTTCTTTTTTTTTTTTTGAGACACGGTTCTTTGTAGCATTGGTGCCTGTAGACCCAGGCTGGTTTCAAACTCACAGAGATCCGCCTGCCACTGCCTCCCCAGTGCTGGAATTAAAGGCAAGCACCACCACCGCCAGGCTTTATTTGTACTTTCAACAGAGGATCTAGTGTATATTAACAATGACATCTTAGCCCTTTTTGGAGTCTACTTTTGTATGACTAAAGTAGCTCAGTGTTGACTATACTTATCTAAACGTATCAGCAAAAATTCAAAAATGTAAGTTTTCTGACTTCACCATCTCTATCCTATCTAGGAACTCACTTGTTGACCAGGCTAAGCTCCTACTCTAGGTGATCATCTGCCTCTGCTGCCCCAGTGCTAAAATTATAGACACCCACAGCTACTTTGTTTCACTTTTAACTGAAAAATTGCCTTAAGGATATTTTTATATCTCAACATTTACATCAAAATCCTTTTGCTTCCTTGTTGATAAATAATAGAGTTGGGATACCTTCCAAGAGGTCTGGACTCTTTGTTTGGCTCTGTATTTACATTTGCCTCAAGTTTTGATTTTAACTGATAAACCTATGACCCAAATCCAGATCTTAGCCAAATTTAGTTTCAGCTTAACCACATTAAAATGCCTGGTATCATGTGACTTCTAGCAGAAACCAAAGTGGTATTTTGTTTATTTATTTTATTATTATTTTTATGAGAGCTTTGCCTCTGTGTGCTGCAGTGTGGGTACCACACACACACACACACACAAACACACACACACACACACACACACACACACACACACGGGCATGTGGAGGCCAGAGGCCCAACCTCTGGTGCCTCTGTCCCAGTCTACCTTGCTTTTTGAGATAGGGTTTCTCAATAGGAAATCATCTTCTCCATCTCCCCAGCACTAGCATGCACGGCTATGCTTGGCTTTTTTATGTGGGTATGGGACTCAAACTCAGGTTTACATGTTTACCAACTGAACTGTCTTTGCTCCCCCTCTCTTTTTGTGTCTAATACTGGGAATTGAACCCAAGGCTTCACACATGAAAGCCAAGTGCTCTACCACTGAGCTATATACCACTAGTCCTTTTTCATTCTGTTTTGAGGCATGACCTCTCTAAATAGGTGGGACTTGAACCTGCTGTGTAGATCAAGCTGACTTCAAATTTAACATTCTCCTCACTCAGCCTCCTGAGTAGCTGAGATCACAGGCACACACCACTATGCCTGGGTAGTGTTGGGATTTGTGAAGTGCAAGTGCATTATTGGGTACACATGCTTGGTTGTCTTTGTATCACTATCCAAAGTCAGGGATCTCTGAAAGGTTATTATTGACATTGGGTCATTTGTTAAGTGTGGAGTTAGCTTAATAATTCAGAGGGCTGTTGCTGGTTTCCAGGACACAGCTTTCATCAGGTGCTGACACAGTGTCTCTAGGGGGCTTGCAGTCATAAATATAGCAGCCACATTTATATACAAGAGTCTTGGATATGTATATAGTAAAGAATGTCAGTAAAGGTCCTGCTTTCATATTATTTTATAGTAGCAATTCGGGCATATCACAAAATGACCTGCTGCTGTTTTCTTAGGGTACATCCTTTGTTTTCCTGGTTTTGGTCTCTTCTGTCATAGGATGGCATTAGGTCTGTGTCTGCAGGTGCTGTGCAGCCTGGGTGGCTGGCTCTCACTCTATACATCTTTCTGCCGCCTGAATAAGCACCGAAGCTATGAGTGGAGCTGCCGGCTGGTGACCTTCACCCACGGAGTCCTCTCTATAGGCCTGTCCGCTTATATTGGCTTCATTGATGGCCCTTGGCCTTTTACCCACCCAGGTAGGTAGAGGGGGCATTAGAGATTTTTCCTTAGGGATTTATGATTTGGGGGACTTAAAAAATAGATATTTGTACAATATTGAAGAATTATTTCCATTCTAATAATTTGTATTACAGTCTTCATTGTTAACTTTGATATTGTATATGGTACCTTCTGGCTTCTGCTTTTTACAACTCCTTTGTGCTATTGGGATTCTTTCTTTTCTTGCCTTATTGTGGTGTTGAGGCTATGAACATGTTAGGTACAGGGCTGTTCCCTGTTTTCTCTATTTTCTCATATATATATATAGATAGATAGATAGATAGATAGATAGAGAGAGAGAGAGAGAGAGAGAGAGAGAGAGAGAGAGAGAGAGAAGGTCTGGCTACTCACTTGGTAGTCAAAGTTGGCCTTGAATTTATGATCCTCCTGCCTCAGCCTGCTGAATAGCTGTAATTATGGGGTCTTTGTGACTTTGTTGTTGATTTTTAAAAATGTTTTATATACATTGGTGTCAGATCCCCTGGAACTGGAGTTAGAAACTATTGTAAGCTGCCAAGTGGGTGCTGGGAATTGAACCCGGGTACTTCTGAAGAGCAGTCAGTGTTCTTAACCCCTGAACCATCTCTCCAGACCCTATTGTTGATTTACTAAAGGCAGGTTCTTGTTTTATAGTACAAGCTGGCTTCAAACTTCTAATTTATCAAACTGAAATGAAATAAGTTCCTCAGTTTTGTGTTTTATTTGAAGATTCTTAATGATTTTAAATATGTCAGGTCATTGTACCTCATGTCATTGGACATGAGGATACTCTGGGAGTTCTCTCTGGAGTCTGCTTTCAGGATGTGTTAGAACTGCTAGTGTCCAATTACCCAATCCTCTAGGTTAATCAATGAATCTGAGCAGGGTAGTAGTGGCACATGCCTTTAATCCCAGCACTCAGGAGGTAGAAACAAGTGGATCTCTGAGTTTGAGGCCAGCCTGGTCTACAGACTGAGTTCCAGGACAGTCAAGGCCACATAGTTAGCAAAAAAAAAAAAAAAAAAAAAAAAAAAAAGAATTTGATGTACTTGACAGAGTGGCCCAAGAATCTAGCTGGTTAAAAGGGAGGAAGTTAAAACATTCACTGAAACAGTGAAATAATTATTTTATGTTCTTCCACAGGAAGAACACTGGTTGAACAGTTAAATCACTCATTGAAGTCTTTGTGGTTTTATTACTATTTTATTATTTTTCCTGGTATTGTTTTTAGACAGGATCCTACTACCCAGGCTTGTCTTATAGTTTACTCTGTAGCTCTTGTCTGTGATCCACACCCTTGGAGATTAAACCAGAGATTGCTAAAGTCCCAGGCCAGCCTTAGCTACAGAGCAAATACTTGGAAGACCCTGTCTCAAAAAGCAAAAACAAAACAAAACTAAAAAACCAAAACCAAAACAAACCAAAACCCAAACCAAACCAACCAACCAACCAACCAAGCAAACAAACAAACAAACAAACAAACAAAGAAAGCAAGAAAGACCACAGTTTTAGACTTTAGGTTTGTCTTTTGAGACAGGCTCTCATGTAACACAGGCTGGCCCTGACTCCCTCCTTGTGTAGCCAAGGTTGGTAGTGTCCTGATCCCCCTTCTTCTACTACCCAAGTGCTGGGATTATAAGTAAGGGTAGATTTTAGGTTTTGTTTTATTGTTATCATTTTTTAAAGTTTCTGCCAGGAGGTGGTGGTGTACACTGTTAATCCCAGTACTCTGGAGGCAGAAGCAGGTGGATCTCTGAGTTTGAGGCTGGCCTGGTCTGTAGAGTGAGTTCCAGGGCAGCCAGGGCTACACAGAGAAACCCTAACAGAAACAGAAAGAAACTTGTGTCTGTCATTGCTTTTGTCCTCTTTACTGGTTCAGAAAGGTTTTAAAGACAATGGCAGAGGATCCCTATGCAGGTGGCCCAATTCCCAGCCATGTTGTCTTTTTCTATCTTGGTTTGTTTCAGGCTCACCGAACACACCTCTCCAAGTTCACATTCTGTGTCTTACCTTGGGCTACTTCATCTTCGACTTGGGCTGGTGCATCTATTTCCAGTCTGAGGGTGCCCTGATGCTGGCTCACCACACATTGAGCATCTTAGGGATCATCATGGCTCTAGCACTTGGGGAGTCAGGCACAGAGGTCAACGCCGTCCTCTTTGGAAGTGAGATCACCAACCCGTTGCTCCAGATGCGCTGGTTTCTCCGTGAAACCGGGCACTACCACAGTTTCACTGGAGATGTGGTAGACTTCCTCTTTGTGGCTCTGTTCACTGGTGTGAGGATTGGTGTAGGTGCTCATCTTCTTTTCTGCGAAATGGTCTCACCCACTCCCAAGTGGTTTGTGAAGGTTGGGGGAATAGCGATGTATGCTGTGTCTTGGTGCTTTATGGTTAGCATCTGGCGCTTTGCGTGGAAGAAAAGCATCAAGAAGTACCATGCGTGGAGAAGCAGGAGGAATGAGGAGCGACAGCCGAGACATAATGGGCGTCTCAAGACACACTAGCCAAGGCTTGCTCCTGGTAAATGGATTGGTTTGAATTGGCCACAGGACCAGTGTCAGAAACAGAACTGAGCTTATAGTGGTCAAGAACTATAGGGTACTTAGGTTTCGAAAAAAGGGCTAAATGTATCCATCGCTTTAGTCAGTTTCCAAGCTAAGCATATGCAGTATTGAAACACTCACTCCTACAGTGGTACTTGCACATCCTCAGTGGCGACTGGCGAGTGGCACTGTATAGGGAGGACCATTGCCACTTGTTTTTGGGTCCCCATGTTCATGGGAGGCCTGATAGATATTCGACAGCTTTGAAAAGAACTTGAATCAAATCAGTGCTGTCTCTTGTTCCTTTGGAAATAACTCCTGAGTTCCTCTAGACATTTTAAATATGTTCAGCGCATGTGCTATAAAGGAAGGGACATGTGTTTGACATTCAGGCATCTGTGAATGGGATCTGTTGTGCAAAGAGGGACAGACGGATGGGAGTGAAACTAGCACTGGCAGTGACTGTCCACTGAGCCTCCCTACTCTGACTGTGTCAGAGGTTCCCAAGGACACTCTTGGGTCCTATGATTCATCAAGAAGACTCAGGGCTTAGCATATAGTCTCATGGCTTTGATTTATGACAATGAAAGGATACAGGGAAGACTCAGTAAATGGAAAAGGAAGCCTGTGGGATCTAAGTATGAGTTTCTAAAGTTTCCTATTTGGATATACAGGAGTGATTCATGACAACACACATGGAAGTCATCAAAGACTTGGTGCCCAGAGCTTTTACTGGCAATAGGTCATATAGGCACCTACCTAGCACAAGGCAAAATTCAAGATTCCCCACAACAGGCATTCAGCATAAGCCATATTGTTTCAGAAACAGTTTGGGAGTAGTGAGCCAATCTTAACAGTTTCTGGTGGGAGCCCTCTCTAAGTTGCAGTTCATAGGTGCCAGCCAAGGGCCAACATTGCAAGCAGGCCTTTGCAAGGATAGCAAGCAATTCAGGCTTGCTAGGTTAACTCTTGTGCATGTGTCCGTGCGCGCGCGCGCACACACACACACACACACACACACACACACCAAAAAACAAAAAAACAAAAACAAAAAAACAAACAAACAAAAAAACCCATAGAGCTAATGCTTTGGATGCAAGATGAATGAGGTGTGGATAGATTTAGATTTACTTAGTCCTGTTGTACGGGTTCTGCCCTACCAGGAAAAGTATGCCAGTTCTCAGGGCTTTTGTGAATTAATCTGCTAGGCATAAGAGGCCATGGCTAAATTCCATGGGGATTTACCATGCGGATTCCACTGTACTTGAGATGGAGTTCAGGTTTCAGCTTCTGGTACATACTGCAAACTAGAACCAAAGATTTCAATGTATTTATTAGCCTCAGGGTGATGAGAGGCTATTTCCTTTCCTTCCTTCTTTCCTTCCTTCTTTCTTCCCTTCCTTCCTTTCCCTCCTTCCTTCCTTCCTTCCTCCCTTCATTCTTCCTCTCCCTCCTTTCTTCCTTTTTCTTTGTTGCAGATACATTTTCTTTTTATCACTTTTTTCCACCTCTCTTGATATATGGTCTTGCTTGTATAGCTCAGGCTAGCATTGAACTCTGTCCCCTGCTTATGTCTCCTCAGTACTAGGATTACAATCCTGTGCCACCATGCCTGGCTCTAATGTAGAGCTTTAATGAAAAAAAAAAGTATTATTTGTTAATGTATTTGCTATTTTTACTATGTTATTTAGATCAATGGTGATTGGCTAATTCAGTTGGTAAGCCAGGAAATGGTGCTACTGAAGCAAGGCAGATGGTCAGCAAGTAGTGTCAGTTCATTCTATAGTCACTGGTGACACTAACTCAATGAGTGACTACAGATGGTATTGGCTACAGAAACCAGTCATGGGGGAGAGGTTGGGAACATGTAGACATTCTTGCAAATGGAAAGGCACTTTAACAGTGGGGGCCTTTTAAGGTGGCTGCTGTATAGTTAAAGGGGTTGCATTTGGCTCTTGGGCTGTTGTTTTCAGGAAAGATAGCACCATGCTCCCTTTTCTATGATTTGTGTCCCAGATATGCCAGTGTGCTTCTTTCCAGCAAAACTGAGCAGAATTGGAACCTGGGGAATGCTGATTTCAGCAAAAGAGTGGCTTGGCACACGAGCAGAAAGGAAAAACAAAACAAAACTGGCTTTTTCTTTTGGCACTGTGCAACCTGCTCCAGACCAGATGAGCAGGCTTAATCTAATGCCGGCTCTTTTCTCCCTTACCCCTCAGAGGTAAAGATTGTAGATCTTTCTGTTGGAGGCACACTCAAGGGAATGTCTGTAGATTTTATTTTATTTGATTTGATAAGAAGACACCTGAACAAGTGATAAGGGGGGAGGAATTCTGCATTTCAGCTTTTCTTGATGTTCTAACTAGTAACCATGAAGACATTTCTCTTAGAGAACAATGTGAAGATGACTCAGCAGTTAGGAGGTTGCCTGTTTTTACAACACAGGTAAATGAAGGGCAGATTAGCGTGTGATGTGTCTCTAGACAAAAGGGAATACTTGCATTTGAATTACTGTGTAATCATCACTGATATTGCTCAAGAAGGATTTATATTTCAATATGATTTGTACTAAATTTTATAAAAATAAAGTAACTTTTTATAGACTCAGAGTCTGCCTTTGTATCTTTCTTTATTGTGGCTTTGCCAAGAAAAGCAGCCTTTGTCCTGTAGAAATGTTGACATCCATTCATACTTGGTGGTGACAGTAATCTGCTCTTTGGCATTAACCATTCCTACTTTTTATATGGGAGATAACAATCAGTACACAGAAAATAGTTTGCCTAAAGAGGAAGAATATCTCTCTGATTTGCCACCTGTTTGAGCAGTTGCTGTCTCCCCTCCCCCCAAGCTTCAGGTATGCTAGGCAAGCACTCTACTTCGGAGCTATATCCTTGCCCCTCTTTTTTTGTGACAGGGCCTCACTTTGTAGTATAGGCTGGCCTGAAACTCACTATGTAGACTGCCTCCAAACTCAAAGTAATCCTACTGTCTCAGCCTCCCAAGTGCTGGGATTAGAGATGTAAGCTACCATACTCAGCTAGATTGAATTTCTATTATTTAGATCAGTCCTGGACACAGTAGGTCCTTAGTAAGCACACTGAAGTAATAGATAAGAGGACAAATGTGGCTTAGAGGACATCTCATCGGAAAACTGTGTGTTCAGTGATTAGGTCATTGGTGCTACCTCCTAGGTAAAGGGTATGACCTAGGGAGCAGGCCTTGGTTTGCTTGATTGTGTGTTCTATAGGTAGATAGGTTTTAGGACAGTGGAGCAGCCAACAGCTATAATGAGGCATTTACCTAGGATATTTAAATAAAATCAATGCCTTGCAAGTGATTAGAGATTTTCATCATTGAAACAGTAGTTTGGGAGTGAATAACCACTGGTTATTCAGTCCTTTGCTGACCGACCATCTTCTGAGGCTTTCCCACAGCAGAATGCCTTCTTTGCTCACAGTTAGAACCTTGGGGTTGTTAAATTTGGAAAGATGTTGAAAGCAGCTTGCCAAAAGGTTTTGTATGCAAGGAAGAGAAGGTGAATTAGGAAATGTTCCCAGTTTGTTTTATTCCTGAAACTTAAGCATTGAGGCAGACTGGAAAGGAAGATGGGAACTTATTTTTAAAATTCATGATTTGATGAGTCATCAGACTCCATTCATTTAATACTTGCATTGTAACACTATTAGAACAAGGGAGAGTAGGACAGTACACTCAGGACAACTTGAGTAAGCTTGGGCATAAGGTTTGCATTTTGTTTACTGTATATAGATTTATGGAACTCTTTCCAGCTATAGGTAGAAACAAGTGGAGTCTTCAGGATAGTGTTGCCATGTTGGGATTTACCAGCAGATGGCAACGTGTCCAGGTCTGATCATTAGGAAAGTGGCTTGGAACTCGAATCTGCTTCTATTCTTTCCAAAAATAAACATTACAAAATTAGCTGGCTGTGCCCGGAACATAACAAAAAAAAAAAAAAAAAAAAAAAAAAAAAAAAAAAACCCAGCAAGAGAGTCATTTCAGGCGTCTGTTTATCTTTCCCCTTTGTACCCTGTTCTAACGTCACCTTGAGCTCATGCATCTATTCAGGGATAATGATCCTTTCACGAACTGTTGTGGAATGACTTGGAAACATTATTAAGAGGCAACTGTTTCCTCTCCACATGCACTGTTTATTAGATTTGATTTCCACAAAATGGCCGAAGTCTCTTCCTACCGACACGGCTTGAAGCTCAGAAGTTTAAAGATAATTGTATAAAAGGAATAGCCATTTGACGTTTGCAGGCAGAATTGGAGAGATATATTGTGTCGTGATACTTCATTTCTTCAGGCAGAGAATTAGTCAGTCATAACACTGCATGGGTAGCTGCATGCCTCTACCCCATCGAAAAAGAAACCGGAAAACATCATTTGGGAACTCTTCAAAGAGATCCCTAATGCTGTTTACAGGACAGATGTATTTCTTCTCCCATCTCTTTTCACAACAAGCTTATTAACTTGCTGTGGAAAGCACCATGTTTTCTCAATTTGGCAAATAATACAGTTCATTTTGCCAAGGCAAAACAGCCTAAAAGCAATATTTATATCAAGAACTCCTGGCTTCATGTGGGCCCAGATCCTTTCTCCTCAGTCTTTTCTGGCCACCCCACCCCGCGGCTGCAGGCTGGGCTAGCAGGTGCCCCAGGTGAGTGGACCACCCCCAAACCTGTCTGTGTGCGGGTTTGCCTAACACTGTCAGGGCCCGTGCACCCGGGCTCGTGTGCAGCCATCAAAAGCATCTGACACCGGGAATCGAGTACATTCCCTTAAAGAATAAAAGTTTCAAGCGCAAGAGAGGCGGGGAATTCCCCGAAGACCCTCTAGACGTGAACTCCGGGATTATGGAATGGCTCGTCTGCTGTCCCGGGTGGAACCTACACTCTGGACTGCACCTCGAGGGGATACAGGGACAGCGAGGACAGCGGCTGGCGGCGGAGAGAGAAGCAGCTTCCTTCTGACCCGCAGAACTACTTTTCGCTCCCGCCATCCCCCTTGACAGCGTTGCGCGGAAGTATCCGCGCAAGTTTGGAGAGTCCGGGAAGCGGAGGGATCCCGGGTGAGGCGGCTTCCCGAAGTCCCAGGGAGAAGGGCCCAAAAAG